CTTTAAGAGTGGAGCAGAGGCCAATTTTTCCTTCAATGTCTTGAAAGAATGCTGGCAAGAAACTGTCCATTCAAACATCTGGCCTTTTTTACACTTCCGGTAATAAGTACAGAGTCCCAAGAACTTTTTAACTCTCCCACATTGTCTGGTGTTGGCCAATCATGCATTGCTTTCACCTTGTCATGATCAGTTTGCACACCATGCTCACTTACAATGTGACCTAAGTAAAGCACCTCTTTCTGGAACAAGTGACATTTCTTGGGATGGAGTTTGAGGTTTGCTGCTTTCAAACGCTTGAATACTTTTTCCAGCCGGGACATTTCCTCATCAAAAGTTGTTGCAAATACAATGACATCATCCAGGTACACTAGGGCTATCCTCCATTGTAGGCCTTCCAGTAGTCTTTCCATCAGCCTCTCAAATGTTGCTGGATCATTGCTAAGCCCAAATGGCTTCACACAGTATTGCCAGAGACTTTGGCCATAACTAAATACAGTCTTAGGTTTATCTGCTTCAACCATTTTCACTTGATGGAAACCTGACTTTAAATCCAGAGTTGAAAACCACCTGGCTCCAATTAGGGCATCAAGAGTAACACCAATTCTTGGCAGTGGGTATGAGTCTTTTTCGGTTACACTGTTAAGAGCTCTGAAGTCCACACAGCAACGTTGGGTCCCATCCTTCTTCTGGACTAACACGCCAGGAGATTGACCAGGGACTATCTGATTTATCTCGATTATCCCTTCTTTAATTATGCCATCCACGACCTTCTCCGTCTCTTGCCGCTTTGCTGGAGCTATTCTCCTCGGAGGGATTTTAATTGGACGGTGATTGCCTGTGTTTATTGTGTGCTCCACAAGGTCTGTGCAGCCGAGGTCATGATCTCCTTTCGAAAAGACGTCTGCACAATTCGCCATAAGTTCTCTAACCTGAAGAGCCTGTGATGATGACAAATGGACTATGCTCTTCTTATTGAGGTCAGTTAAATGTTTTGGAAGAGGATGTCTTTCCTTTATGATTGTATTTCTTGTCTTAACATTGACTGGCTCTACCTCCTGGTACACACCCAACAATGCCCCTTTCTTAAGTGTCTGCTCACATATAGAGAATTTGGCCACTGTTATGAGTAATACTTGATGACCTGGCACAAGTGACCTTCCAATATTCACGTCTGCTGGCCTGGATGGGTCTTCCACTGCTTCCATAAGCATCGGGCTTCCTTGGGGATGTTCTTTTATCCTATCCCAAATTATCTTCTCTGACATAGGGGGTATTGTAGTTGACTTAAGTGCTGTGACATGCAAATCAACAGAAGCAGCAACACTTACCGGAATTTGGCGTTTGTTTTTCCCAAACCTCATTTTATCAAAATTAAATACACAATTCCTCGGTAGTAAGTAGTCCAACCCTAGTATGCATTGGTCTGTCTTTCATACCCATGAGCTCAATAGTTACCCACACTGGTCCCCACAACCTTGCATAAGGTTTGCTGAGATGCATTATTTATGAAAAAGTTGCAATTTTGCCATCCAGTTTTCCTGTCACGTAGAGACTATGTGTGCTTGCCATTTTATACTTAGCTGTTGGGACTTTCACAATGGGGGGCTGCTGGGTGTCCTTCAACACCAACCACTACTGGTTTTCTTGAGGCTGAGTTATTGGTGGTATTCTTCTTACACTGGCTCCTCTTATGTCCATGCTCGCTACAGTTCCAACAACCTTTTCAGGTAGCAGCCTTTTCTGCTGTGACATCTTCCCTGTGTTGAAGTTGCCGATATTGATTTCTCTTGTGCCCAG